TATATATATATTTTAATATTTTTTTTTTGCCTGCACTGACACTTAATAGATGAGGCCATAGCAATTTAGGTACATGGCTTCACTTTTCTGGCACGTAGAAGCCAGCAAAAGAAATCCTCTCTGCTGCCCCAGCATGAAAGCTGTGTGCTCTGTGCCAGACCAGGTATAAAGCACCCTGCGGCTGAGGACCATTTAATGTCCCGAGTTAAACTGCCTGGTGAGGCAGAGGCAGGATGGGCTTTGGAGCAGTGAAGTAAGGAGGAATAGTTTGTGTGATCTGAAGACAGAGCATTGCAGGCTGTGAGATCCCTAAAAGCAAAGACAGAGTATCTGCTTTTTGTAGTATTCCTCTGCTTCCACCTTGGTCACATAGAAAATGAAATTCAGGAACTACTAAAACTGCAGTATGAAACTTATTTCCAGCCTTTGCTGGACCTGTCTACTACTTTGTGGGCAGATCTGCCTGCCAGTAATTGTGAAACCTAAAACTTAAGAAAAATAAATGTTTGCATTCTCTTATTAATACGTGCTCATTTCCCTCAAAGAAGCCGTGGTTCTGTTAAGGGGTTGAGTTACTGCCAAACCCTGCGCTTCTCTTGATAATTCTGCAGATAATTCTTTCTGTGCTGCTTTTAGGGGGGTGGGTTACCTGTCGGGTTATATTTAGGTGCTGCAATGATAAAGAAATCGCACAAAAATACGTATGCTTTCCATTTGCTGCATTTCTGGTTAGTGACTGCTTTAGTTCTCAGGTTTTTTGGTTTTCCCTTGATTCTTTCTTTCCATGTGAGCGTTGTGTTGCTGGAGGGAATCAGCTTAGTGGTCTTGTGAGTTCCAGCCCGGCTGATTTAGCCCTCCAGCTTGGCAGGGATGGATCAAGTGAACGGCACCCAGGTTACTCCAGTTACTTTTTCTTTATGAGTGACTTTAACTTGAGGACTTACCCATTTGCTATGGATATTTGAGGTTTCTTTTATCTTGTTGTGTAAGACTAGGAGCTTGTACCATGTCCCTAAAGCAAATTCTGCTTTTTCTTCTGCTGTGCAGTGTTCGCTAGGAAGTCGATGTCCTCAATACTAGAGGTATCTGCCCTGCGTCAGTGTGTATGCAAATATGTACAGAGACCTAAAGAAAGGGCTTGGTACAAGAGCTTGTCTTTTTTGTTGTTGTTGTTTGCTTTTTTCTTGCTATATAATACTGATTTATAGCCACAAAGTGCTCTTACAAGTCCTGGAAACTCCCACTCGCTTTATGTGTCTTCAGCTCAGCCAAGCTGTCCCATTGAGTCTCCTTGTGTAACTGATAAAGGATCGAACGCGTAATTTGCAAAGTGCTTTGCAATCTTTTTGGTGGAAGGTGGTGATAAATGTAGGATACTATTGAGCTGATTATAGTGATTAGAGTATTTCACAACTTTATATTTCACAACTTTTTGTATTTGTAGTATATTTCAATCTCTGAATGCATCTGGGTAAATAGATGAAAAGAATGCTTATCTACCAAGGAAGGGGTGTGATGGTGGTGGGGAACTGCTTTTTGTGGGGTTTGGGGTTTTTAAATACTTATTTAGTTATTTTAAACTATTACCAGTTCATTAAAAAGTGCTGAGTTTGGGATTATTTAAGAAAATAAACAAGCCTCCTTTCTCTCCCTGCCGATCTGCAGCAATCCAATGTTACGCTCACACTGGAAAGAAAACTGTTTGAGCTGGTTTAAAAGTCAGACTTAAACAACACGAGCTTGAACCGACTGGAAAGATGAAGCGTATATTTTACCAAGAGAACCAAAATATATTAAGTTGTCTAAGCTGGTAGGACAGCATTTTCTGAGGATGCCCCACTTTCACTTGTGGGCACAAGGTCCAAGTTGTCTTGAGCTTTTTCCTTCCCAGCAATCACAAAACATTCAAGTAAATATAATTTTTCAGTATATTACAACATAAAAGGAAAAACTCCTGGTTTTCTCTCTCCCCCTGTCCCCTCCCCCCCCGCCAGTCATCTGTTGAGGATGTTACAGACTAATGTTGTGAATTATTTTAACAGTAACCAGGGAGTAAGTCTTTTGGCTTCCCTTGTCAAAAAAATTCACTGCCAAATTGATGTGAGGTCCTTGTGACCAATTTCCCTGTGTAGTCTGTAACTTAACAGGCAGCTTTGAGATGGTGTTTTCAGGTGAACTCTGAGAGCAAAGCCACCTTCTGAAAGCTCTGGGGGAGAGATGTTACTTCACATTTTCTAGTTCCATGTGGGAACTGGAGCAGGTTGTGTCTCGACAGTGTTAAGAAGGATGGGTTAGAGGTTTTGTGGGGGTTAGGCCAGTAACTGTGTGGAACTCCTCCTGGGTTGGATTCAGAGTGTGAGCAGGTCAGTTGTGCTCTTAAACAGCTTTGCAATTTCAAATGGGCTGGTGTAATCCAGCGGAGTTTGGTCAAATTAATCCTGGTTTACACTGAGTGTGAGTGAGATCAGAATTGGGTTTCTGGGCTTTTTTTGTTGACTAATCCTTGCAGTGCACTGAGTCAGAATATGAACCCTGTGAAACTGGGGCAGCTAATTTAGAAGAACTTTAGGAATGTTTTTCATGTGTTCTAACAGGTGGCTTTTTTCTTTCTTCTTTTTTTTTTTTATGATTCAAGTAAAAGACCTGTGTTGGTTCTTCAGAATGACTCTCTCTACTCTCAGAGACGTCCTTACACCAGTGAAGATGAGGCCTGGAAAACCTTTCTTGAAAATCCCCTTACAGCAGCTACCAAAGCTATGATGAGCATCAATGGTGATGAAGACAGCGCAGCTGCCCTTGGACTGCTTTATGATTACTACAAGGTAGATTGGCGTGGGTACGCTCTGGCAGCCAGCAGAGCTCTTGTTCTACCTGTGGAAAAGCTGTAATTTGCTAGAGGATTTTACAGAAGCTGTGAATAAATCACAAGGATTTTAAACTATGTAGGTTTTAAATGGAAAAAAATCCATGTCCCTCTTTCTGAAAATTGGTTTATTTTTCACTTTGTAAAATAAGATCCCTTGGATCATAATAGAATGGGTCAAAGCCTCAGTAGCACTTTGCCTGTCAACTCAAGGTTCTGCAAAAGGCAGCGTGTTATAGAAATAGTTATGAAAAATGAGACTTTGGAGCATGTTGGTGTCTGAGTGTAAATACACATGGAGAGAGAAACTTCCCTTCTTTTGCTGATGTGATGCCTGTTCTGGTGGGGCCGTTGGCTTTTGCTGGAGCTTTGATGTTCTGCCTTAAGTCATCTCGGCTGATACTAAGCTGTAACTACAGATTTCTGGTCATGTGTGGGGCAGAAGTGTCTAACTGAAGGAGTTGCTGTCTGCATCCCTCTAACCTTCAGCGTGAGGGAACTTCAGCCACCATATCTGTTAATCCTTTGGCAACTGTGGTTGCCTTCGCCAGTGTTGACGGTCTTCTCTGAGACCTGTGCCTTCCTGGATGCTCACAGGTGAACTGAACACAGTCAGCCAGAGAAGCTTCTGGTTTGTAGGGGATGTGTTTTGCTGAGCTTTCTTTCCTAAATACCAGAAGTCTAAGCTGGGGTAGTTATCTCTGGTCCAAGTCAATGGAGACCAGCAGGCATTTATAGGGAGGGAGGCATCCTGCTTCTGTTAGAGGCCTGCATTATGGTGGCCTGGCTCACTGGGTGGAGATACCATTTTTCCTTTGCTGAGCATGCAGGGAGGCCGGGAGGCTGACTTGGCTCACATGCCTGACGTTTTGGCTAGTGCCTTTTAACACCAGTGAGTGCAATTGCCAGCCTCTGTATGTTCTTCAAGCACGAGGAGAGGTTGCCTTCTACATGCACAATCCTTGCCTGCCCGTTTAAGAGTTGAACATGTCTTATGTGTCAAAATATTCTTGTAATGCTTAGTGCTTAATATGGAGATTAGCACTCCACACACACACACACACACACACACACAACAAAATGCCACAAGCTCACTGATGTGGATGTTATTAGATAGTTTTGTGAGAAAGCTGGCTTTCTGCTTTGTGTCCATGCTTGCTGTGCTTTTGGAGGGGAAAAAAAAAAAATAGAAAAAATAAAAAACACCACAACACTTTCACCAGAACAATTTTAATCCACAAAATAAATTTTGATTTCTAAACCCGTGGATTACAAAGAGAATGTTGATGTTGTTCCTTCACGCTTGGCAAAGCAGAAGGGATTTGCTGTACATTAATGTCTAATTCGAGGTTTCCTCTCATGTTTGGGTATCAGTGGGTGTACGGAAAAATCGGTGGAAGAACAGGTATGCTGCATGTGTGGGTGAAGCAAAATGGTTAGAGGCTGAAAGATTTATTGAGGGCTGTTATGAAGTAATGCTGGAGGGACGACATCTAGGCATTTTTAATACGCCTCCTCTGCAATATTAAAGGCAGCTGATGAGGTCACCTTTGTATTAAAAAAACAAAAACCAAAAACCCCCCAAAAAAACCTCCCTCAAGTTTTCTTCCATTTGACTAGATGGGCTACCCTGGTAGCTCAACTGTGGTTAATAAGGCCTTACAGAAAACAAATTTTTGATTAAAATCTAGAGTTTGGGAGTGTTGGACTGGAGACCAAACGCAGTTTGGACAATCCTGTTTTTTCAGTGACTAGTTAGCATCAGCCTTCTGGCAGTCTCCAGCTAGAGGTTCTCCAGATTTTGCTGGTTACCATGGAAAAGCCAACAATTCTGATGTTATTGGAGATACCAGGTTACGTGGAAGAGCCAGGACTTAGGTTTTAGTTGGGGACTGCTTAGAGAAGTGTGCTATTTACACAGATATGCCATCAGCCTTCGAGTTAGCAATAAAGTGGTGGTTCCCCACGTTGCACCCAAGCTGGCAGGAGCGGGCAGTATCTGAGCAGGCTTCAGCGAAGGAAGGTGGTGGTAGTTTACTCCTTACACTGCAGAGTGTTTGCTTTGCTCATTCAGGAGGTGTGTTGAGGGTGACAGAAGTCCTGGACGCCATGGGTGTGTTTGCAGAGGAGCTTGCATGGACTTGCTGTGCAGTTGAGGGGACCTGAGTACTATGGGCTCATGTCTCCGAGGTGCTGGCTGTGTGCTCTGATCAACAGAGCCACCACAGGTCAGAGAGTTCACCTTCTTCTGTGTACCTTGGCCTTGCATCACAGCCAGGAAAATGGTATGTCTGGGTATGAAGTAGGTGGCTTGGGTGATGTTTTCAGGGCAAATCCTGCCCATGACATAAAATAGGAGGAGCAGTATTGAGCTGTCTTAAGTCCAAAGCGTTGGTGGTTACCTTTTGTTTATAGAAGATTTAATACAGTTTGTGGCAGGGTATTGTACGTGGCCATGCACAAAAAATGAGCTGTATCATCTCCACTGGACCTAGTCCTCCCTGAATCCCCTGATCTTGGAGGAAAAAGGAAAGCCTCAAGTTGTCTCTGAGGAAGTGGCATAGAGAGCACGTGTTCTTGGGGAAGGGGCTGTGGAGCAGTGTCCTTTCACAAGCCTTGAGCTCATCCAGCAAACTGAACCCTGCCAGTGTGCAGAGGAGAAAACCTGCCCTGCCAGTGCAAACCTGGAGGGCCCTCCTCCTGGTCCTCTTCGCCCTGGTGCTGGTGCTCCAGCCAGGGGTGGACAGTTTTCTGCACCAGTTTTCCCACTACCTGGTGCTGGGAGGAGCCCAGGGCTGGCACAGCTGGCCAGGACAGCTATATGGGGATCTGTGGGGCATCACCTGGATTGGGCCTGGCTTCCCAAAGCCATGCAAACATCAGTCAAGCTGTAATGCTAATAGTGGCAGGCATCAGAGAGCTGTACTTTTTTAATTTGACCAAATGGCTGTGTTTTGAGGAGTTAGGGGTTTTTTTATATGGGAGGAAGAATGCAATTATAGTATGTCTTGTATTTCCCAGGTTCCAAGGGAGAGGAGATCTTCAACAGCTAAACCAGAGGTAGAACATCCTGACCAAGACCATAGCAAAAGGTATTAGTTTTTATTATTGTGTGTCTGCTTATCTCCCTTCCCTCCTAGACCACCAAAGCTGCTGAAGGGAAGTAACTTGCTGCACTGCAGTGTTGTACTGGAAGAGGGAAATTGTCTGTGCCCCAAATTGCTGTTTCCCAGGAACAGGGTGGGGATTGGACCATGATGTGGAGAGCTGAGGCCCAAGCTGCTTCTCATTGCCATCCATCTGCTTTCTGTGTACCAGAGTCCTATAGTCAGTGTAGCAAAACCTGCTCTCTGACACTAGGCACAGCCTGGTGGCACAGGCACCCCCTCCCAAGGCTGAGGAGGTGACTGCTGACTCTGATTTTTGTGCAGCATTGCTTCTTCGTGCACGGGCTGATGGGAAAGGACTTCAAAGTGCTTGTGACTTAGTTTTGGTTTTGTATTGTTTGTGAACTTCTTTTGTATCCTCTGGAACTCCTTCCTTTCTTCCTCTTTCTGCTGTCCCTCTCTTGTGCCTCCCAACCAGAAGATGATACTGGTTAAGTAAATATTAAGGACATGAGGTTATTCAAGCTAGGCTTCCGCTCCTACCATCCTCTTCATTTGGATAGACTAGAACGCTTTAAGGAGTCGAGGTGAGGTTTTGTGGTCTGGCTGAGCTGATTGAATGACTTCTTGCTGAGTAGAGCAGTCTGGTTCTCGGCTATGTATTCCCACTGCTCCCCTCATACCAGCTCTGGTCTTCCACTGACCCATAACCTAGCAGGAAAAAAACCAGAAGTGGCTAGTTTTCTGCCAGTGGAACAAGCCAAACTGGCTCACCAAGGGGATGGAGGAGTGTCAGAATTGGTGCAGAGGAGAGGGCAGGACAACGTTGTGGAGAGGGAGAAAGGGAGGGCAGGCTGACTTAGTGGCTACTAGCTATGAGGTCAGCTCAGCCACAGATCGTGGTGTCCTCCTGGCAGAAATGACTGTGATGGGGTGGAGAGTGTGAAGTTATGCAAACCACTTCAGGGAGTCTCGGTGTGGATTTTCTCGGGGGTTTGTGCATGAGAGGTGTAATTTCACTGTTAGTGCTTCCCAGGTGGTATGCAGTTGTAGGGCAGAGGAGCAGCGACCTTGCTCCCAGTCCTCCTCCATCCACCAAAGAGCAGTTTCATGGAACCTGCATGTGCCAATGTGTGGTGGGAAGGGCCCCAGACTGCTTAGGTTTGGACTGCTGTTTTCCAAGCAGTGAGCATCTGGGCTGTGAACTCTCATCCTTTGCTCCAGGGCAATTTCATCTCCAAGGTGGGGTTGTTAGCAGTGGGTGAGGTTTCTTTTTTGAATGAGTTTCTTGACTTTTCAGGTTAGTATTAAGCTGTTTTGCACAAGCAGGAGAGTTGGTATTGGCTGTCCTTGTCCAAAAGGCTGAGAAGTGTTTCTAGCTCTTGTTTAATGAGGAAAAAGAGCTGCATAATTTATGCATTTTTTTCTTTGTCTTTTAAAGGAACAGCATCCCAAATGTAACAGAACAGTCACTCATTTCTGCTGGAGAAAACAGAGTCCAGGTTCTGAAAAATGTGCCTTTCAATATTGTCCTTCCACACACACCCCAGATGGGCATGGACAAGAGAGGCCACCTGACAACCCCTGACACAACGGTCACCGTTTCAATTGCCACGATGCCCACCCATTCCATCAAAACGGAGACGCAGCCCCACGGCTTTGCAGTGGGCATCCCACCAAGCGTCTACCACCCCGAGCCCCCCGAGCGGGTGGTGGTCTTCGACAGGAACCTCAATCCCGACCAGTTCAGTTCCAACACCCAGCCTCAAAACTCCCAGAGGCGAACGCCAGACTCCACCTTCTCAGAGACTTTCAAGGAGGGCGTGCAAGAGGTACCAAGAGAGTCAGTCGCTGTGTGGGTGTGCGCGTGTCTTGATCTGGATGGAGAGATCCACTTCCATCTTTAATTGTTCTCGTTACCTGAGCCAGAAATCTGTCTGGTGAATTGGGAATAAAACACTTTCTTGGAAAGGTGCATAAGTAGAACTTAGTAAATAAAACGTACACGACATGAAATCATTATCAAAAGCAAATGACTAATCTTGCTAGTGACAGAGCCTTTGGCTTGCAGAGTGTGGAAATAGTTATCTAGATCCACAGCACTGGGCTGGGTTTTGCAAGAGTTCGGCACTCCACCGGTGCCTTTGCAGGTACCGGAATGAAGTGACTATGTCTGTGTGCTTCCTTACTGCCAGTTTCTAGGTGTGGTGTGTGTCAGTGGAAAACAGTTGGTTTATTTAGGGGCCTTGAGTGAGAGTTAAGCTTGGATGAAAATCTGTGGGTTTTGTTTTATGGTATCAACTGAAAACAACAGAGTAAGTGTGTTTTGATTTTTAAGCCAGGCCTCAAGGAACTGCGTAGCTATAGCCTTTCTTTGAGATTTGGGGAAGCTTTAAAATGTTGCCATAAGCTGACTCAGAAGGCTTGTGAGATGTTGTGCTTAGTTGACACCCAAAAGTTTTGTATTAAAATCCTACTCAAGTGTCCTGTTTGCACAGACCAAAAATCAGTTGTTATCTGATGATCAATTTGCCTGCCAGAAGTTCTGTGGTAATGAGTATCTGTTTAATCTTGAATTTTCTTGTTGCTGCTGTGTTAATTGTTGTGTTGTTTTGGTTTTTGTCTACCCCAGGTTTTCTTCCCTACTGAACTGAATCTCCGGATGGCCAATATGAATTCGGAAGATTATGTTTTTGACAGCATTTCTGGGTAATGCATTAGGGCCCCCCCGTTTGCCTGTATCCTCCTGTTCTCTTACAGTTGTCCACGAGCAAGCAGTACAGCTCATGCCCTTCTGCACTGAGTCTCTGTCAGATGCTGGGGGGGCTGTGGCTCTCAAAACCACAACAGTGTCTGCTCATTTGAATTTCACAGTTGAAAATCCTACCTGTATCTTTAAGGAAAACTTATTTAAAGAAAACTACCTGCAGGGTTGGCAATACCACCCAGTTTCAGTTGTTGTCCTTGTACCAACTCCCTGTCCCGTGGGAAGGTGCAGTGTTGTCTGTCAGCTCTGCAGTGGTCTTGGAGCTGGCTTTCAGCTGTGTCCTTCTCCCTGGCCTTCTTGCCTTGCTCTCTCCCTGTTGGAAGCCTACAGCAGAAATAGGAAGCATGAAACTCATCTGAACTCCAGGGGAGAAGAATAAACTAGTTGGTTAGCTGCAGTTGACCAAGAGGGAAGAGGAGAAGACTGTGACCACTGAATGGCTTATTAGCTTGTGAATTTTAACTTAATTGCTAATAGATACTTTTATGTTCCATGGGAGCAGCTTGCTGCTCTCAGACTGAATAGGGATCTTCCAGTCTTGCCTGCTGATGCATCTTGGGATTTAGTTTGCCAAGAATTTCTCTTAAATGTTCGTTCATTAACATTTGGTTGAAAAAGGGGCTCATCCTGTTTTCCAACTTCCCTGCCTATTGATGGTTTAGTGAATCAACTAACGACTTTGGAATTTCTCCAAATTAAATGTAGCACTTAATCAACTTTCCAGGAAAATACCTTAGCAATCACTGCCCTCTTCGCTCTGTAGGAATAACTTTGAGTACACACTGGAAGCCTCCAAGTCCCTCCGACAGAAGCCTGGGGACAGCACCATGACTTACCTGAATAAAGGTCAATTTTACCCAATCACACTGAAAGAAGTCAGCAGCAGTGAAGGAATCCATCATCCCATCAGTAAAGTCCGAGTGAGTGGCAGCTCTTGTGGTTTCTCGGGAAAGAGGGTGTGTACAGTGGAAGCCTTAAACTCTCCCAAAGCGCAGTAATCTAGACCAGAGCATCGGCACTAGGGCCAGCTTACCCGCTCTCTTACGTCAGCGTTCGTTCCTTTGCTGTCCACCTACTTCCAGACCAACCCATCCTGGCTCAGTCTGTTTAGAAGTGGTGTCAGCACTTGTGTAAAGGTGATGCAACACCTGGAATGAGATCCTTGAACTCCATTTAGGAGAGCAGTTCTGCTCATCTCTGTTTATGACCCAGAAAGTGCTGCTGTCTGCCTTCCTGTTTGGCAGCGGCGTGCCATGTATGCTGTGGTGCGTCAGGCTGGAAGGCCTAAAGCAGAAAACCTGATACCAGGGAGAACTTCCAAAACAAATGTACTCTGTGTCCTTTTCTCTTTCGTGTGTTTGCCTTTTTTTTTTTTTTTTTTTTTTAAATCTTACACCTTCTCCTCTCCTTTCAGAGTGTCATCATGGTGGTGTTTGCTGAAGACAAAACAAGAGAAGATCAGCTCAGGCACTGGAAATACTGGCACTCAAGACAGCACACAGCCAAACAAAGATGCATTGACATAGGTGAGGAGCGCTCTCATTGCTGATGTCAAACTCCAAACCTAATTCCTTGACAAGGTCTGTTTTTTGTACTAAAGCGTTGTTATTTTAAGGAACCTTTGGATCACGCTCTCTGCTGTCCATAGATTTGCTGAAAGCCCAGAGAGAGCTTTTGATTGCTTAGAGCTAGTGCTGTAATTTGTAGGGCTCATGAAAGAGGCTGGATTTTGGAGTGTTTTGTTTGGTTGGTGAGCAGGCTGAGTTTAGACTTTCACATTGAGATATGTAATACCCCTTCCAAACTACGGTTGCTTTGGCATATCCTGGTGCTTGTAACTAAATCGCAGCGTATAGACTCTGTGGCTGTCCTAAATACTGTGCTGCTTCAAAGGACAAGATCCCCGTAGAAATACCTTGACACTAGTAATCTTCCTTCCCACAGCTTCACTCACAACTTGTCTTTGGTACATATAAAAAAAGAAAACATTGCAAATTTTCACTTGCTTCCAGACAAGGTTGGGGCTGGCTGGCTTCCAGCCTTCTCTGGCTGAAGGCTGGATTGTGCTCCTGGTCCCTTCCTTCTGTGAATAAAAGCGGGGATTAATCACCTGGCACTTAAAGCAGACGCGCATGCAAATCTGTGTTTGTTATTGAAGGAGTTTTATTGAGAGCTTATGCCCTTGCCATACAGGGTAGAGTTTCCTTGGTGCAGAACATGCGATATTTGGGATGTCTGCCTTTCTCGTTGGAGTTTCTAGTTTGGAATTTCTACAGGTCCCTTGTTTTCCTCCTTCCTCCTGTCTGTTGTTTTTATTTGGTTTTGTATGAGAACCATTTCCAGCCTTTTTAATGATCCGTTCTTAAGTACAGTTCAGCTTCCTTTGCCCCCAAGGGGTTGCTGAGATGTTTCAGTTTCTGGCTGCTTTGTCTGATTAAGGACTCCAGGTGGTATCCCTCTTCCTCTCTCATGCATCCTTCTTTCTAACAGCTGACTACAAGGAGAGCTTCAACACCATCAGCAACATTGAGGAGATTGCATACAATGCCATATCCTTCACTTGGGACATCAACGAGGAAGCAAAGGTATGTGACCGTGGTTATATTTCCTGTCCTTTTAGCAGATTCGGGGACTGGGGGAGGGGAAGGGTGTGTGGCCTACCTGGTGATTAGCATGTAACAAGTTTGTTTACGCGCTTACATCAGGCAAAACCTTCTGGCTATTTCTTAAGAGGGTTTGCATGTGCAACCACGGAGAGCTTTGCAACTGCTTTAAGGTTCTTGGCAGAACTACCTACCTGACAGACAAGTACTGACAAAAGGAAGCGCCGAGCATTTCCAGAGCAGATGAAGTGGTGCAGGGGGTATGATGGAGCATAACTGGGCTTGGCAGGGAGCACAGGCTCTTGGAGGGTGCTGGTGGGAGGTGAGGGCCAGCTTCTGAGGGAGTAAAGGCTGTGGCAATGGGATTGCCTTTAGCAGAAGAGGGAGTAGCTGCTGCTGTTGAGCTCCCAAAGCATGCGTTGCTGAAACCACAGATCCCAACACCCGGTGACCTATTTCAAGTTAGAGCAGCCTCCTGGTGAACTCTGGTTTGATCTTTTTTCAGAACTGTGGGCACTACAGTAGGTGTGTAAGTATGGGCAGCTTCCCTAGCTAGTAGCTAAGTGCAGCTATTCAAGCTTTTGAAAAAGGACCATGTGTCTTCTGGGTGCCAGGAAAGCAGGACAGAGAATGGAGTCACCTCCATTCCAAAGGCATTTCCCACTGCTTTGTTGCTGGAGTCAAAGTGCAGGAGATTTATTTGGAGAGTTTTGTTACTGCCTGAGTTTTTGTTAAAAACTGGGAATGGTTTTCTTCAATTTTTGGAGGCTGGCTGTTCCCTTACTAGTATGTTATGTGCTAGTCACCGCCATCATGGGGAAAAGTACTGGTGGCTGCAGACTGCCATGTCTAGGGAACACCTGGCTTGGGGGACACAGGAGCTCTCAGCAGAGAATGCAAAGGTCCTGCTCTGGAGCTGTGTGTGCCACTGTGCTCTGCAGGAGGCACAAGGGATGGTGTCACCGCATAGAGCTTGCTGTCACCACGAACTTTGCTCTGTGCTGTACGTGGGCTTTGGAGAAAAGAGACCTGGAGAGGTTGTGTGGGGGCTGCTGTTGGGTTTCAGCTCTGTGGGAGAAGTTTGGGGCACTTGGGAGGCAGCAGCAAGGAGCTGTGTGTGCTGCTGATGAGAGAAAGCGCTGCCTTGCAGCAGGTGTGACTTTACTTTTGAGGTTGGTGTTGGGTGCCAGGCATCCCTGTTCACCAGATGCAGCTACTGACAGGCTTCAGTTGGGTTGAGAGGGGTGGCTGATGTGATTTTTTTTGAAGCATGAAGCACTTTGCTATGTGAACAAACAGATGAAGCTTCATAAGGGCTGCCAAAAGGAGGCAGTAGGTACTCCCCAAATGGTGTCTTGCTGCTGTAGCCAGTCTAACATTGTCCTGTTCAAGGAGCTCTGGTAACCTGTGTCTGCAAGGTACTTGAGGTCTTAGGATTTGTATGCAGGGGTGGATCATGCAGACACAGCAATGATTTCAGGTCCCCAAGAAGTCAGAAGCACTTTTTAGCTCTGCAGCTGCCTCTCTGCTGGCTGAACCATCCTACAGCAGTGGGGACAGGCTGCTAACCCAGGAGCAGGGCTTAGGGTGGGTGCTGAGGACCCTGTGGCTGCCCCAAGGAAGCTGTCCCTTCCCACCAGGTGACAGAGCCCAACCCTGTGAGGCTGGTGCAGGTGGTTGTTGCCCAAGTGTTCTGCACACCCCTGAATGATTGCAGGTCCATAGTGAAATTGCCAATAGCAGCTTGAAAAGGTCTGAGGACCCTCAAGGTGATATTTCAGCTCTGGGCTGAACTTCATGGGATGAGGTGGTGCGAGGTGGCATGACCCAGACTGGTTTTGTAGCTACATGGGCAAATTTACCTCCACATTCACAGTCTTAGTAAGCGAGATGCATACGCTTTGAGTATTGATTTGTATGAAACTGCAGAGGGGACTGTTGATACCAAGAGTACGAGCCTGGGCTCCTGGGATCAGTGTCATATTAAGACAAAAATACTCTGGACTTCAGTGTTCCAAGAATTGGCATTTTTAGCAAGTGCTCCATGTGTTCAAGTGTCTGTTTAACTTTCTTTCCCTGAGTGGATGCATTTTGTCAGTGGTTGGCTTTCTCACTGGTAGAGCTGCAGTTCTTTCTCAGCTCCTGTGATCTTATCAGGAGATGCCTGAGCCAATTTCAACAATTTTTATTGCATGGTTCATTTACCTTGCATGCTCTCTCTGTATTTTATTTTCTTTTTTTTTTTTTTTTTTTTTGTTTCTTTCCCTCATCCCCCAAACAATAGTCTTGAAGTATATAAAGAGAGCAGGGAATAGAGAGCTGAATTTCTGATGCTACAGAAAGTGCTCCACATTAATAAATACAGTGTCTTACGTTTAATAACAGCAGCAGTGTTGCATAGATTATGTGTTTATCATCTGTGCAAGCCTTGATTATTAGAAACTTGCTTCCTGAGCCCTGAAGTTACCTGGACCAGAGCCAAGTGATTCTTCTGGAGTTGCTGCTTCTCCCGTTTCCCTCTTACTCTTGCTCCCAGGTTGCTGTGGGAATAATGATATCAAATGGGAGGTGATGAGGCTCTGCATCTCGGGTTTTGGATGTAATTATTCATTTAGGCACCCAGGGCTCTGCATGTGTGTTGGATTTAAGGAAGAAATAGTGTGTTATTGCAAGAAGTTGCTCCTAGCAGCGGTGGGACCAGGATGTACAGGAATATTGGACCTCTGCCGCTTTGTCCATGCAGGAGGGTGTCACCTGCCTGCGAGCGTGCTTTGCCAGCCCCCTTGGGGCGCTTCAGGATTTTGTACAGTACAGCTTTCTAGTGAAGAAACACACTTTTCAGGTAACATGATTCATTTTCTCACTCTGTAGCAAGGAAAATGTGCAGATTTTGCAGCTGCAGGCCTGTGGGTCAGAAAGGACGTTTGTGAGACCCTCGGTGACCAGTGTTCCCAGCTGCCTCGTGCTGCTAGAGCTGAGGGCAGCGCCAGGGCTCTGGGTGCCGGGTGCGCTGGCAGGTCTGGCTCTGCCCAGATGGAGTTGTCACACAGCTGACTGCATTGCTCTGCTGTGTGTGAGCCCGTCTGTGTAGAAACCAGGAGTATTTCATGTATATGAGAGACTTCCTGCTCTGGGAGCAGGGTCCGTGGGTTTCAGAGCACATGCCGAGTGCTTTTTTCTGGCAGCTCCTCTCTGCCCTCTTCTGTTGCTTTGGGACATCACAGGAGCTGCTAGAAGCAGCCACTCTATGGAATAGTGGTGGGTTAAGTGTGCTCTAAGTGTGTTGAGCTGGAAAAGGACCTAGGATCCAAAGCCTTATTGCTCTGAGACAGTGAAGGGAGCTGAGAGTGGTTAGGAAAGGACAGACTGCCCCGAAGTTCTGCTGCTGAGACTGGAAGAGGAGTGAGGACAGGGTAGAAAGATTGACAGGAGACACTGCCGAGTGGGGAAGTGGTAATTCTGATGGGCTTCCAGGCATCTGTGTTAGAGGTGAGGTCTGACCCCACCACCTGCCAAATCAAGGGATGGGAAGAATTGGATGAGGAGGCAATCATGCTTTGTGAGGAGAAAGAGGGAGATGGTGAACTGGGAAATTAGCTGGTGAACTGATGAGTCACTGAATTGGATATCTGGAGAAGCCAGTGCACCTACTCAGGTGCGATCCTGGTTGCGTGGAAGCATGATCTGATGAGTCTCACGAAGATGTGTAGCTGATACTCCCTTGCATGCAGCAGGTAATGCTGGAGTTACCCTGAGGCTTGTGGAGACTTCAAACAGTTTCCCACCCTGTCCCGGACGTCTGCTGTGTTGGGCAGACAGTCAAGGTGGGGTTCTTCTCCTGTGAACAGCTTTTAGATGTCTAAACACAAGCTTGTCATCTTTCAGTTCTATGACTTCATTAGGGATAGGATGTCTAGAGCTGTGATGGAGCTTTCTCTGGAGGTGCCTGCCCCTCCTTGTTGACTGCGCAGGCTTGGCCATCTTTAAAATCAGGGGATTTTAAAGGTAGGGAAGAAGAATCCTGTCCTTGCAGCCTTTTTTATGCGTTTGACCTCCATATGTCAGTCTGGAGAAATGTTTGCAGCTTCAAGTTGTGAGAGTTTTGGTTTGTTGGTTTTTTTTTGTTTTTTCCCAGGACTGTACAGCATGCCTGGTTCTCCTTCTCTTGGTTGATACCCATTAGAGGTCTTTTAATGAAAATTACCACTACGTGTATGGTTAAATGCACATTTCTTTTGAGTGTTTCCTGCTACTCTATTCATAACATTGGCCATTGTACTGTTACCTCTGTTGTGTTGCCCGTTAGGCTGTGAAGCAAATTCTCTGTACCTTAACTCTGGCCTGGGGACATGGTCTGCTCTCAGGTCAGTGGCAGTTGAACAATCTGGACAGATTGGTTTCCCCAGGGTTAACTGGCTTTGCTGGATCCTGCTTCGCTCAGATCCCGTCTGAGCTCTTGCCCAGTGGAGCAGGAGGGCTGAGGCCTCGTGTCTGAACAGGGTGAGTTGTTGTTGCCCACACAGTGATGGTAAGAACCTCTTTGCTCCATTTCTGTAGCCCTCACAGCGCAAGGACCCTGCTGTGGCACTGGGGCGCCCCTTCCACGCTTGCTAGTGGGTCCCTTCTGAAGTGTAGCATTGTTTCCTGCAGCTCCCAAAGAAGGGCCCCCATGGAGGTCTTCTGTCTGGCTTGCTCTAGGCTGGATGGTGGGACTGTAGCCAAAAATGATGTCACTGCACATTAAGGGCTCTATTGTCCTCCCACTCCTTCCCTCAAAAAAAAAAAAAAAGGCATTGTAAGCCAGATGTGTGAAAAGCCTCTTTTTACTAAAAAGGGATGCGTGGTGAGGGTGTAACAGGCATTTTGAGCTGAAGAATATAATGGTAGAGCTTTTTGCTGCCTTTACACCAAAGGGAAGGTGCTGTGGTATCTCTTAAGTGACGCCCTGAGTGACAGAACAATTAAACAAAACTTTTTTGTCC